TTTAGCTGCAACCCAGCTTTTGCGCTTTCTTCTTTCACCTTGATTAGAAGGCTCCTCAGCTCCTCCTTGCTTTCGGCCATCAGAGTGGTGTCATCTGCATATTCACCCCAGCTTTGCATTCATCAAGCCCCGCACATCGCATGATGTGTTCTGCATACAAGTTAAAAAGGTTGGGTGAGAGTATGCAGCCTTGCCGTACGCCTTTCCCAATCTTGAACCAGTCTGTTGTTCCATGCTCAGTTCTGACTGTTGCTACTTGGTCCTTGTACAGATTCCTCAGGAGAGAGACAAGGTGGCTTGGGATGCCCATCCCACCAAGAACTTGCCACAATTTATTATGATCCACACAGTCAAAGGCTTTAGAATAGTCAATGAAGCAGAAATAGATGTTTTTCTGAAACTCCCTACCTTTCTCCATTATCCAGCGGATATTGGCAATCTGGTCTCTCGTTCCTCTGCCTTTTCTAAACCCAGCTTGAACATCTGGCAACTCTCGCTCCATGTATTGCTGGAGTCTTCCTTGCAGAATCTTGAGCATTACCTTACTGGCATGAGAAATAAGGGCCACTGTGTGAAAGTCTGAGCAGTCTTTCGCATTTCCCTTTTTTGGTATGGGGATATAAGTTGATTTTTTCCAGTCTGATGGTCATTCTTGTGTTTTCCATATTTGCTGACATATGGCCAGCAAATATTTTTTCTCCTACTGGGAAACATATGTATTGCAATGTACTTTTGTATGCTTTTTAAAACAAAGTCATTATTTGTAATATATTTTCTTTTTGCTCTCCGAGAAATATGTTCCCGCATGGTAAAAAGATGGTAAAAAAACTGCGGCATGGACATTTCTTCCCTTTCTTTTTAATTCTCGTATTATTAATCCTACTACTGGACCGACTTACCTTTTTTCTTACCACCTTATCACATTGAGAAATTTCTCAGTGGTAGGACACTTCAGCCTCTGTTCAAGCATGGGGAGGCTCTGAGCTCATCACATGATTTAAACTACTTCCGGATGTCATGCATAGCCCTCCATGGTTTAAAAGAGGCAGAAGTGTCCTGAAAGGAGGGAACTCTGGCAATCGGCCTCATCACATCGAGAGATTTCCCCCCTGGTAGGACACTTCAGGCTCTTTTCAAGCATGGAGAGGCATGGAGCTCATCACCTGTTTCAGGGTTGAAAATAGGCAGAAGTGTCCTGAAAGGAGGGAACTCTGAACATAGGTCAGCAATCGTGTTCAGAGCTCTTACATGCTATTACTTTACTCCCATGTTTACCACTGAAAACGGGTGGGATGAGAACCATCAGGAAAGAGTCTAACTGTGAATTTTTAAGTGCTGCTTGTGTGTAATCAGAAATCCCACATTATCTGGGTGTGGACTCAGATAACCCAGTTCAAAGCAGATAATGTGGGATTTCCTGTCTTGATATTCTGGGATATAGGGCTGTGTGCAAGGGTCCTGTGTACAGGGTGAGGCAGCATAACTTCCTTTTTTAAAATGCGCGCCATTCAGTCGGTTGAAGACGTAGCGGAGCGCTAGTGGTCTCGTTCAAGAGGCGGGAGTATAAAGTTTTGTCCTGATACAGTTCAGTCGCCATCATGCACTGGAACAGTGAAGAGCGTGCTTTTGCCGCTGAGCGGATTTGGAGTGGCCGGCCCGCTCGCCAGATTTGGCCCCTTGTGATTTTTTTCTATGGGGTTTTTTTGAAATCTCATGTTTATGTGAACCGTCCAAGGAAACTACAAGATTTGAAGACCAACATCCAGGAATAAATTGCCAACGTAACGCCTGCTATGCTGGCAAGAGTCATGTCAAATCCTAGAAATTGGTTTACTCAGTGTATGGAGAATGGAGAATGGGGGACGTCACCTACCTAATTTGATCTTCAAAACTACATAAAACAAAACTTTAGGTATGCGCCTACATTATCAAAAATAATTAAAAATTCTGATTCATGCAATGGGTTTTATTAAGTTTTGAAAAAAGGAAGTTATGCTGCCTCACCCTGTATAATATATTGTATCTAATATATACGTTGTAAGCCGCTCTACACACCCATACTTACAACTAGCCTCCCCTGCCACGCGTTGCTGTGGTGGCCCACATGGGGGTTCTGTGTGGGAGGTTTGGCCCAATTCTATCATTGGTGGGGTCAGAATGCTCTGTGATTGTAGGTGAACTATAAATCCCAGCAACTACAACTCCCAAATGTCAAGATTCTATTTTCCCCAAACTCCACCAGTGTTCACATTTGGGCATATTGAGTATTCGTGTAGAGTTTGGTCCAGATCAATCATTGTTTGAGTCCACAGTGATCTCTGGATGTAGGTGAACTACAACTCCAAAACCAAAGGACACTGCCCACCAAACTCTTCCAGTATTTTCTGTTGGTCATGGGAGAACTGTGTGCCAAGTTTGGTTCAATTCCATCATTGGTGGGGTTCAGAATGCTCTTTGATTGTAGGTGAACTATAAATCCCAGCAACTACAACTCCCAAATGACAAAATCAATTTTTGAGTGATGGTCATTCCTTGGCTTAGTAGGTGTCTTGGGCCAAATTTGGCGACAATTTGTCCAGTGGTTTTTGAGTTATGTTAATCCCACAAACAAACAGTACATTTTTATTTATTTCGATTATTAGTAATATTACATGTAATATAAAATATATAATTATAATATTGTATTATTATATTGTATTACATTATAATATTATAAATATTATATGTATATACAATATACTATATTATTATATACTAGCTGTTGCTGTGGCCCAGTCTGTGTATGTGTTTTGTGTGTGTATAGATTTGTGTATATGTATGTTTGCGTGCGCACGCGTGTATATATATGTGGTTTTGCGCATGTGTTGCAATGTATCTTTTGGCATTTTAAGTCCCTTCCGCTGTGTTTTTCAGTGTTTTTGTGAGTGATGGTCACTTGTTGGCCTGATAGGGTGTCTTGTGTCCAAATTTGGTGTCAATTCGTCCAGTGGTTTTTGAATATGTTAATCCCACAAACGAACATGACATTTTTATTTATATAGAGTTATTTTATTTCCACTCCTTTTACACTGCCTGCCACTCCTGTTGCAATTTTAGAGTTTTTTAATACTGGTAGCCAGATTTTGTTCATTTTCATGGTTTCCTCCTTTCTGTTGAAATTGTCCACATGCTTGTGGATTTCAATGGTTTCTCTGTGTAATCTGACATGATGGTTGTGAGAGTGGTCCAGCATTTCTGTGTTCTCAAATAAAATGCTGTGTCTCTAAATAAAACTCTAAAATTGCAACAGCACAACAACAGAGAGGAAGCAGGCAGGGACATCTAATTACCTCTCAACAAAAGTTTGCTTCGGGCACTGTCAGGCCATTATGCTAATCAAGGTGGTCAGTTGAAACATTCACACCTAGCTCCAGCAGACAAGAGTCCTTTGTCTCACCCTGGTCATTCCACAGATATATAAACCCTTTTCCTAGTTCCAACAGACCTCACTACCTCTGAGGATGCTTGCCATAGATGCAGGTGAAACGTCAGGAGAGAATGCCTCTAGACCATGGCCATACAGCCCGAAAAAACCTACAACAACCCAGTGATTCCGGCCATGAAAGCCTTCGACAATACATTATAAATATTATATGTATATATACAATATATTATATCTATCTATATATATATAAATACTCTGTGCATAATGAGTACCTTAAAAACAAAAGAACCAATGAACGAAATCACACCAAATTTGGCAACAAAACGTCTCACAACACAAGGAGTGGCCATCACTCAAAAAATTATGATTTTGTCATTTGGGAGTTGTAGTTGCTGGGATTTATAGTTCACCTATAATCAAAGAGCATTCTGAACTCCACCAACAATGGAATTGAACCAAACTTGGCACACAGAACTCCCATGACCAACAGAAAATACTGGAAGGGTTTGGTGGGCATTGACCTTGAGTTTGGGAGTTGTAGTTCACCTAACTCCAGAGAGCACTGTGGACTCAAACAGATGGATCTGGACCAAACTTGACAGGAATACTCAATATGCCCAAATGTGAACACAGATGGAGTTTGGGGGAAATAGACCTTGACATTTGGGAGTTGTCTTTACTAGGATGTATAGTTCACCTACAATCAAAGAGCATTCCGAACCTCACCAATGGAATTGGGCCAAACAACCCACACAGAACCCCCATGACCAACAGAAAATTCTGTGTTTTCTGGTGGTCTTTGGTGACTCTTCTGACACCCCCCTGGTGACCCCCCCCCTTAAAGGGTCTTGACTTCCCAGGTTGAGAAATGCTACCTTAAGGCCATCCAGTCCAACTCCCTTCACCAGGGCAAGAAAACATAATCAAAGCCCTCCTGACAAAGGGCCATCTAGCCATTCACACACACACATATACGTGTACGACAGATGCAGTATCAAAGATTTGAAAGGGACCCCTAAAGAAGGACAATATGTTGCTTGTTCCAGAGTAGGCAAACCAGACAATTTCCCCATAAACACTGGCAAATAAACAGCAAGAAATAGTGTTTACCCATAATCATAAAGACATTACATATATTAGAAACCAACACTTTCTCATTACTTTATTCCAGATCACCAGACTGGGCCACAGCAACGTGTGGCAGGGGACCACTAGTTATTATATATTTTCCCCCTTTTCTCTCCTATATTTTTTTAATGCATAATATTTTATGGTAATATAGATTGCTGGTGTTAAATATAATAAATCAATAAATATATTGAAGGAGGAAAAAGAGCGCCACATCCACTGTGATAGGGAGGCAGAACACCAAAAGGGGCGATTTCTCTCCATTAAAGGCACCATCACCTATGCTTTCCCCTCTCAATGTGATGAGGCGGTCTATCAAGCGAGGGGCATGCGCACTGGCAGCGGGTGGGGCGCGTGAGAACGCTCAAGATGGCGAATCAGGATGGGGCGGGGCTCCAAGCGCCGCCATATTTGGAAGGTCAGGAACTTCCCTGAGGGGATCTCGCGAGACTTGCAGAGCGGCTCCCGCCCTGCCGCGCGCCGCGGCGCCTGCACCCCCCCTCTCCCCAATTCAACGGCGCCTGTGTGTCAGTTGTTGGCCGGTAATGGCGGCGTCCGGCTGAGGGAGCCTTTGGGGCCTCTTTGCTCCGGCTTGTCCTGCCCAGGCCTGCGGGATGAGCCGACGACCTCCGCCGCTGCCGCCGGGAAGGAGAAGGAAAGAAGGGAGGCGGCGATAGGGCAGGTGAGGCCGGAGGGGCCTGAGGCCTGAGGCGGCAGGAGAGAGAGGGAGGGAGAGAGGGAGCGGCGGGTCACTTCCCTTCTTGGCCTTCGTTGGCCTCAGCCGCCCCCTTTCCTCCTCCTCACTGCGGCTCGGCCTGGCTGTCATTCGCTCCTTCCTGGTTTAAAGGGACCTCTCCCTTTTAAAGTCCAGGACCCTGCTTAGAAACGCCGTTCCTTCCTGTTTCCAGTCCTACTATGGTTCCGGATTGATTGATGGACTGTTGTCTTACTAATCTGGAGTGTGTGTATGAAAAATGTGGGTCTGAGGAGGAGAAGAAATGGGGTGCTGTTGCCACTTTTGCATTCTTGCTTCGATTTGGCCAATACCTATTTTAGATTCTTAGATTTGTGTTTCTTATGCTTTCCAGCCGAGAAATTCTTACATGACCCCATGCATACAGGTGTATAAAATAGGTATAAAAACCAAACATTTCCTGTAAACCAGTGGTTCTCAACCTGGGGTCCCCAGATGTTTTTGGCCTACAACTCCCAGAAATTCTAACAGCTGGTAAACTGGCTGGGATTTCTGGGTGTTTATTTATTTATTTATTTATTTACTTTGCTTGTATACCGCAGTTTCTCAGCCCAACAGGCGACTCAACGCAGTTTACAACAAGGATAAGAATCAATCAACGATATACAATTTAAAACCATAAAAGCATAATATACAATATTGACACAACAATAGACAACACAATGCATCTCATAACTAGAGTCGTGATCCAATCCGTCGTCCAAATTTCCATTCCTGTAATCATCACATTCATTGCACTGTTTAACCGAATGCCCATTCAAACATCCTATATGGCCATGTTCTAGAGGCATTTTCTCCTGACGTTTCGCCTGCATCTATGGCAAGCATCCTCAGAGGTAGTGAGGTCTGTTGGAAGTAGGAAAATGGGTTTATATATCTGTGGAATGGCTGGGTGGGGCAAAGAGTCTTCTCTGCTGGAGCTAGGTGTGAATGTTTCAACTGACCACCTATTTAGCATTTGAAGGCCTGGCTGAGCCTGGGGGAATCTTTTGTTGAGAGGTGTATTAAAAACCTGGTTGTTTCCTCTCTGTGTTTTGCTGTTGTAATTTTAGAGTTTTTAATACTGGTAGCCAGATTTTGTTCATTTTCATGGTTCTCCTTTCTGTTGAAATTGTCCACATGCTTGTGGATTTCAATGGCTTCTCTGTGTAGTCTGACATGGTGGTTGTTGGAGTGGTCCAGCATTTCTGTGTTCTCAAATAATATGCTGTGTCCAGGTTGGTTCATCAGGTGCTCTGCTATGGCTGACTTCTCTGGTTGAAGTAGTCTGCAGTGCCTTTCATGTTCCTTGATTCGTGTTTGGGCAATGCTGCGTTTGGTGGTCCCTCTGTAGACTTGTCCATAGCTGCATGGTATACGGTAGACTCCTGCAGAGGTGAGAGGCTCCCTCTTGTCCTTTGCTGAACGTAGCATTTGTTGGATTTTCTTGGTGGGTCTGTAGATTGTTTGTATGTTGTGTTTCCTCATCAGCTTCCCTATGCGGTCAGTGATTCCCTTGATGTATGGCAGGAACAGACCACCAAGAAAACCCAACAAATGCTACGTTCAGCAAAGGACAAGAGGGATCCCCATTTTTTTCTACCTAAATGTAGTTTTTTACATTTCCTCTTGTTGAAAGTCATTTTGTTAATTTTGGCTCAGTTCTCTAATCTATTAAGGTTATTTTGAATTCTGATCCTGTCCACTGATAATATTAACTATCTCTTCTAATTTGGTGTCATCTGCAAACTTGATAAGTATGCTCTCTAAACCTTCATCCAAGTCATTAAGATAAATATTGAACAGTGCTGGGCCCAGGACCAAACCCTGTGGCATTCCACTAGTCACATAATAATAATAATAATAATAATAATAATAATAATAATAATAATAATAATCTTTACTTATATCCCACCACCATCTCCCCAAGGGACCCGGAGCGGCTTACACGAGGCCAAGCCCAACAATACATCAATAAAAACAACAAGCAAATAATAAAACAACAAGCAATAAGCAAAATTAACAATAGTTAAAACTTTAAAAATAAGTGCTGGACATGAACAGAGGATGTATCTAGTAGGCGGGTCTTTCCAGGATGAAGAGGAACCATTGGTGAGCATCCTTTAGATTTGTTTGCTTAACCAATAATTATAGATCCACCTAATAGTGGCATTGCCTAGTCCACAGTTGATTAGTTTGCTTTCACAAAGGTCATGGGGACTTTGTCAAAGGCCTTACTGAAATCAAGATATGCTACATCCACAGCTGAAGTACAGTTGAATCATTTTCTACAGAGTCCTCTGTAAACACTGCACATAGTTGGGAAGAGATTTATGAAAATGGGTGGCATTCAGAAACCAAATTGTCATGACCCCAACATTGAGCAAAGTCACCCTATTTGGGATTGGGACCCACAGTTAAAAAGCAGTGGGCTGAATGAATTTTATTGTGATGGTCGCAGACCAGGAGTACAAAGCATTAAACCATTAAAATCAGAGGGGTTTTGTTTTTTAAAAAAGAACTACATAGACATTGAGATCAATGATTCAAATAATTAAAAACAGAAAGTCTCTAATATTAAGATCAATAATTCAAAACATTAAACACAGGAAGTCCCCAACGTGGAATAGTCTGGATTGGGTCTTTTCAAATATGCAGGTATAGACATTAAAATGGGTAGGTTAAAACATTATTCTTTAAAATCACCCACCATCATCCACAATATGCCTCCTTTTATAGCAGCAGCACAAAATTTAGCCATTCTAAGAGTGATTGATCGTTCTCTATCATCTATGAGATGTTTTAGATCAGGGGTTCCCAAACTTTTTATACAGAGGGCCAGGTCACAGTCCCTCAAACTGTTGCAGAGCCGGATTATAATTAAAAAAAAATGAATGAATTCCTATTCACACTGCACATATCTTATTTGTAGTGCAAAAAAACTTAAAATAATACAATAATTAAAATGTAGAACAATTTAAACAAATATAAACTTATTAGTATTTAAATGGGAAGTGTGGGCCTGCTTTTGGCTGATGAGATAGGATTGTTGTTGTTGTTGTTGCATGCTTTCAAGTCATTTCAGACTTAGGTTGACCCTGAGCGAGGGCTGGGTAAATTTCCTTGGAGGGCCGTATCCAGCCCCCGGGCCTTAGTTTGAGGACCCCTGTTTTAGATAGTTGTCATTTCTACCAGGTGTGTTTTGTAAAATGGGATTAATAAAAACAGCATGAATATCTCTATAAAAGTCACAATATAGAAGGACATGCCTGGCAGTTTACTTTCTCCATAACACATGGGCATATTCGTTCTTGGTATGGGGTACCTGGAAACCTACCCTGCAATAATGCTGATGACCATACATTTAATCTGGCCAAGATGAAGGATCTTCTAAATTTGGGAATATCCAACTTGGAGAAATAATTTGCTGGGGTGAGCAGCATCATGTTTTTAATTTCTGGGTGCCTGCCCATTTCTCCCAGGTGCTCTTGTAGTTCCACATTCCAGAGCCGGTGCTTAATAACAGATTTGGCTAGTGGGCTGTAGAATGTACTTCTTATTTAATGATTTTGTGTGAATTTGAGTGTATATATAATTAATAATAATAATATAATAATGATTATAATAATAATTTTATGTCCTTGTGGCTCGAGGCAGGTTACAGAATAATTATAACACATGAACATTATAAAAACACCACAAATACACACATTATAAATGTATTTCTATAAAAGATACGTATTAAAACATATTTATATAAAATACATATTAAAATATGCAAAACAGATTAAACAAAGGACACAAGTTTAAAATTCATGCTTAAAAACTGACATTTATACTCTAACACTTGTGTATAGAAATAAAGAAAAACACTTTCTCCTATAAGGATCCAAATGTAAGCTGTAGATGTGTCTTAAGGTAGAAGGACCTACTTCCTCCACAGACATTCTGCTTTTGCCACTGCTAATGGCCCATATATCCCCTATCAAATTATTCCTAAATTGTCCACATAAATTCATAGGAGACCTCTGCTTTCTGAACATCAGCTTTGTTTCAGGCACAGAATTACTAAAATTATATACAAAATTGCTTTCAGGTTATAAGGTTTAAATGAAATAAATGAATTTGATTTTTCAAGTTTGGTCTTATCTCCAAGATACCTTCTTTTTTTTTCTTCAGTGTTTTTCCTACTTGATGGACACCTCATTGTGTAAATATGAGTAAATACAACTATTCCAAAATCCAAATAATAATAATAATAATAATATAAATACATCCAAAATAGGAGCGCCCGGTGGCGCAGTGGGTTAAACCCCTGTGCCGGCAGGACTGAAGACCGATAGGTCGCAGGTTCGAATCCGGGGAGAGGCGGATGAGCTCCCTTTATCAGCTCCAGCTCCTCATGTGGGGACATGAGAGAAGCCTCCCACAAGGATGATAAAACATCAAATAATCCGGGCGTCCCCTGGGTAATGTCCTTGCAGACGGCCAATTCTCTCACACCAGAAGCGACTTGCAGTTTCTCACGTCACTCCTGACACGAAAAAAAAAATCCAAAATACCTCTGGTTCCAAGTATTTTGGCTAAGGGATACACAACCTCTAGTAGCAAAGACATTCTGTGAGGGTCTTGGGAAATCAAGCCCTGTTTAAGGATAATGATGATGATGATAATAATAATAATAATATAGTAATAATAATGATCTTTATTTCTGTACCGCTCTCTCCCCCAAAGGGGACTAAGGGCAGTTTACACTTAAGAAGACAGTCATTCAATGCCTAAGTAAGTACAAAATGTATCAAAATACACGATGGAGCACAATAATAAAAGTGAGTTTACCATGAAGGATTAAGCATTGAGATAAAAAATATAACAGAATAGTCAGTAAGACATAATTAACTAAAACATAGATAAACATTACAACAAATACCCTCAAAACAGTTTAAAATACAGATTTAGGTTATGAAAAGCAGGAACTTTTCACAGAACTCCAATCCCACTCTTCAAAATAACTTTGCTTCTTGACTTTATTCAGGGATAAATGCTCCAGCCCCATGAGCGCTAATTCACTTGCCCTGTGGATCCCCAATCCCTTTCCTTCATGTTCTGAGTGTCTGTTTCACCTGGGCAAAGGAATGGAGATATCAAAGGGAACAGAAAAACATGCAGACTGGAAGAGAAGGCGGAATCAACTCAGTGAACACCCGCAATGTCACCTAGCATATCTGATTCATCCGCTTCTTTATGAAGTGCTACATGTTTCTGTCCCTACCCCCTGTATCTCTCTTCCTTTGCTGAGTGAAACAAACTTTCATGGACCATAGGAGGAAGAAGATGGGATACGTCCACAGGGCAAGTGAAGTGGCATGTGGGACTGACTACTCCACTTCATGCATTTCACACCTGACTCTATCTCCTGGAAATGGAAGGGAGAAATCAGATCGAAGAGAAACACATGGTATGGCTACCTCCCAAATAGCTCTCCTGTTTACCTCCTGAGGACAGATCTTACTGTGTGAATGTCCATGTAGCAGCTCCAAATTTGGGAGGCAGGGCCTGGCCGCACAAGCTCACAAGTAATCAAAACTGTGTGCGTAAACCTTGTAGAAGTAGAGGGATGATTGTAGTACCTTATAATTATTCTGGTTGAAATAAATATCTGTTAATTTTGCCCCAGCATTGTGACATTGTGAATTTTTATTCTGTTTCTTTGAGGTATTACTCTGCTTCATATGGGTCCATCTGCAGATTTGAAATGTGTGCCTCCTATTCCATCATCTAAAGATGCCATAGCTAAGGCCTGTCATATGTACCCACCAGCATAGCTACACAGTGGGGCATGTAACATAATTTTAAGAGTTTGGGCAGATTTGGGGCAATCTTGATCTAGCCTTTTCTATTAGGGCAACATTATACTCCTTACTTGTTGCATGTTCTTGGATACTCTTGCTTCATTAGATTTCTGTTCTTGTTTTAAAGGTGAAGTGACAAGATGTGGAGCAACAAACCTATTGAGGTGCCTTTACAAAATCCAAGGTCCTCTCAGAATCAGGATTCTATTGGAGGTTTGGATTTATTTTATTGTAACCTATTTAAAAATACAGTAAATGCAGCTCTTTAAAATTTGGCTCCATGTGGTTTTGGCTTCTAGTTGCTGTACATGGAACAATGGTTTCCAAATCTGTCCAGTAACATAATTATCTGCTACTTCAGGACAAGAAGATCAGACAGCAATAGGCAATATTTTAAATTTCAACAAAAATAAGAGAGGGGCTTCTGAAATGTACAGAAACATTGATGAGATGAATCTACTTCAACCCCTCTTCTCAAGTTTTCCTCTAGATGTCAGCTATATTACTTTATCCCTCCTAACCTACCACCCATCTTGCATAGCCAGATAGTAGCTGACAGAAGGTCAGAGCAGAGAAGTGAGGATTATAACCTGTGTATCCTACAGATCATAATGACAATTATCATGCAGGGCTATTGGAAGACACCTGGGAAGTCCCCAAGAGTACGTACATCAGCTACACATGGCAGTCTGGTCTGCCACTCTTGCCCACATTGATTGTAAAAGTAGGACAACGGTGGAGGAAGTGGTTGACCCATGCTTGCTCACCACTGGCTAATTACAGATGGGATTGGGGTAAGGGAGAGTAGTTGATAGTAGTTGATCCTCTATCACTGGTCAGCTGATGATGAACAAGTCTTATTACAAGTCTTATTTTTCGGTCCCAATTCAAGGTGTAGGTTCTTACCTACAAGGCCCTGAACGGTTTGGGACCTGCCTACCTGCGTGGCCGCATTTCCTTCTACAAATCCACACAATCTCTTCGATCTTCTGGAGAGGCCCTCCTCTTGCTCCCGCCTCCATCGCAAATGCGACTGGTGGGGACGAGAGAGAGGGCCTTCTCTGTAGTGGCCCCTTGGCTCTGGAATTTGCTCCCCAGAAATATTAGTCAAACCTCCACTCTGGCAATCTTCAGAAAGAGCCTGAAAACTTGGCTATTCCAATGTGTCTTCAGTGATTGGGTACATAATAATCTCTGACCAAACTCTGCATAAAATGCCCTCAGTAGCACTTTAGTCTGTTGTTCTGCAATTAAATCCTACCTCATCTCCCGGAGCCCCTCCCTGATATTTTACACTGCCCTATCTCAGTGTTTTTAAAATTCAAATCCTTGAATTTGGTCCTGCCCATGGTGATCATTTTTAATGTTGTAATTGAAATGTCGTAATGTTTTGACTATGTATTGTTGCGTTGCTTATATACATTGTTTTTGTATTTTAGGTTATTTTATTTTTTGATTTTCTGTTGTGTTTTTCTGTTATGTTGTGTATATTTTATTGATGGGCGTGGCCTCATGTAAGCCGCCCCGAGTCCCCTTGGGGAGATGGTGGCTGGGTATAAATAAAGTTTTATTATTATTATTATTATTATTATTATTACATGGTTGCCTGCACCCTCCCTCCAGATGGTTCAGATGGAATAAAGTGGGAGAGAGAAGCAAAAACAGTCAGTCATTAGCAACTGGAAAGCTTCCCCAAACTTGGCTCCCCCTTCCCAAAGTCATCGCATTGAGAAAACAGGAAAGAGGTGTTTGTCGGAGAGAGTTTCCCTCCTGTGATATATTCCTTTTTGAATGCCTGAGTAGAAAAATGGTAGAAAAATTGGTCCCTTCTGGAGTTTTCTTCTGGAGTTTTTTCTCCGCTTGCCCTCAAATTCTACATAAGGTTGACTCATACATTAGTATTTATAGCATTCCTTCTTCATTCTGAGATTTTATAATTTGAGCCAGCACAGTTCTGTACAACCATATGTTGGCTTAATCAGCCTCTATTAATATGCATTTGTTTGTAATTTTTTAAAATAAAGACCAAATTATAAAAGACTTTTACAAGGCAGTTATATTTGCCAAAAACATTCCCATGTTTTAAAATGGAAACTGCATGTTTATCCGAAACTGGGTTGCAGTTATCTTATAGATAGTAGAAAATAAGTTATTTAAAATCAAAGCTATAGTGACCGTCTTGCAAAAGATTGTAATTTCCTGATAACTTCTTAATTATAAGTAAGTGCTACTAGTTATAAGCTTCAGGGGGACTGTGTCCATATATACTGTCATATTTCTATTTAGTAAATTTTATTTCAGTGATTTTTAGAAAGGATAACTATTCATATAAATACCAGAAAATGCCATTTAATACCCACATTTAATCAAGTCTAATGTGCCATTGAATCAAATGTGCACCTCAATTTTCAGAACCCTGAAACCAAAAATTATTTGCTGCCGAACATAATGTGCAAAAAATGGTCAAAAATACCTTCTTTGTAATATGGCCATTATGGCCGTGGTTGTTCCAGTGTGCCTTCCCAGAATAGGAAACTCCAAGCATCATGTCCCAAATGCACTTTACTAGAGATTTAAGATTGTCTGCATACTGCACTTGTCTCCAAAAACCTATCCATTTCACCTGGTCATGTCCAGCATTAAAAACATTTTTTAATCATGACATTTGGCCCGGCCTTAGTTTTTAAATGCACCGTGGTGTTATTGTCTAATATTTATTGCTATTGTTTAATGTTTATTGCTTTGTTTATGAGTTTATTTATTGTTGTATTTGTTATGCTGTTGTTTTATTGATGTGTTGGGCCTCGGCCTCTTGTAAGCCGCACCGAGTCCTTTGGGAGATGTTAGCGGGGTATAAATAAAGGTTTATTATTATTATTATAATTGCTGCCTGCTTAGAATTCCTTCTTTTTTTAAAAAAAGTATTAGTACATCAAAGCTTCCAGAAATAGAAAAGAAACCATGGTGTACATCTATGCTGTAGAATGCATCCTCTTTAACTGCTTTGATTCAATGCTATGAAATCTTTGGGGCTGTAGTTTTACAAGGATTTGAGTCTTCTGTGCCAGAGAATGCTGATACCTCACCAAACAAACTACAAATTCCAGGATTTCATAGCATTGAGTCACAACTATTAAATTAGAAATGATGTCCCTCAAAGAGGAGCTCCAGATGCTTCTGCAGTAGTTTTTGTTTTGGCTCAGCACTAAGATGACTACAAGATGCAAATCTAATGCACACCCTCATTTTGGCAAGGTAATTTAGCCCACAAAGGTGAGCATTAGATTTAGGTAAATAGGGTAGTTTTTTAAAAAAATAATTGTGTATGCAGACTAAAAAATCTGTACATTATTGCATGGAGACCAATTCAGAGATGTTGTTGAGCTGTAAAGAATATTGGTCACAGAATAACTGAACTAACAGGTGGTTGCTTTGAATTCTTCACACAGACTTAACCACAGCAGGGGATGCTTTTTCACAAACCAAGGCAACAGTAAGTATTCAATTATCAGTGCTATATAGGAAAACAAACAGAACCTGTGTATTGTCGAAGGCTTTCATGGCCGGAATCACTGGGTTGTTGTAGGTTTTTTTGGGCTATATGGCCATGGTCTAGTGGCATTCTCTCCTGACGTTTCGCCTGCATCTATGGCAAGCATCCTCACTACCTCTGAGGATGCTTGCCATAGATGCAGGCGAAACGTCAGGAGAGAATGCCTCTAGACCATGGCCATATAGCCCGAAAAACCTACAACAACCCAAACAGAACCTGCATTCAGTCCAGTACTTTTTTCTAATTCTTTTTTATTGTGATACGTGATATAAGTATAAATAGTCAAAAAAGGAAAAAAAATCTACCACATTTATATTATTTACATGAAACCCTCTAAAATTAAATACCCAAACTAATTTACTCTCTATCCCTTCTCCCACACACATACAAATTGTTGCACTAGAGCCTTGAGCCACCTTTTCACCACAAACCACACTCTGTCCAGATAATCCAGTAAGTAAAAGTTTATTTAGAGAAAAATATATAAAAAGCAAATCTAAAAAGAGGAATCAAAGTCTCAAAAGGTATTTCCAAGATAACCAAGAGTCCAAAAGCCTTTCGAATTCAGTCTCAAGAGTCAGTCCACATATATCCATAAACAATATAGCATAAATTCAAGGCAGGCAACCTATTCCACACATGAACTAGAAGCAGAACAAACTTAGAAACTTGAATACATGGATTCCAAAAATGCAGGACCAAGAACCAAGCTGAATACAACGTTGCCCTCACAAAGGATTGTACCAGCAGAAACCACTTTAAAGGCCTCAATCCCTCCCATAACGCCATTCCTCACACACCCGCTTCTCTTCTCCTTATCTCCAAACCTCTGGGAAAAGCTCTGCCTCTACCTTCACCTGGACAAACATTTGTCTCCCACATGTCTCTCAGCCTACACTTCTGGCAGATTCTCATGAGAAATGATATCGCTTTCTCCAGTCTCATGGGAACTGCCAGGAGATTCCAAAACAACTCTTCAGGCTACTTTTATCCTCCTCTGGGCCCTCTGAATTTGTCCCAGCATCCCCTTCCTCATCTTCTGAGCACTCCGCAAAAAAACAAACAAACAAACAAACAAACCCACGATCCAAAGCTAGTTAGTCTTTTATCTTGTAAGGTATGCTTAAAATTTATCCATTACATTCCAGTATTTTATGTCTATTGTTTATTGTTAAAGAGGACCACATATTGGAACATTTTCTTAATTTTTAAAAAACATTTTCAAGCATTTTTATTTTTTTTAAATAGTTATGCAAGAGATTCTTATAATAAAATCTTACTTTGAATGGATGCTAACTCTAAAATTATTGGTAGGTGTAATGATATAAATCCAGCTTCATTTTCCATGGGTTTAGTCATCCTGTAATAAACTCACCCAATGTGTAAATTTGTGTTCTGTTTTGTTAATGTATGTGATAAAGATTATAATTTAGTATTTCTCGTGTGCATCAAAACTCTAGCTGCAACATATTGCAAACAAATTGGAAGTAACACCTACCAGCACAGCTGTATTGGAGTCTGTCATGGATAGCAGGAAGCCATCTGTCAGTACTACCAGAAAAATAAGTAGGAAAGGTATGTGTGAGGTTATTTTTTTTATCTTGTTAGAAGCTAATTGAGAATATAGTTATAATGTACAGAAAAACCACAAACAAAGTTAAAAACTATGCATTATACTAAATTTCCTTTGACCAGAAGCTGGCCACTTTGATCACCTCTGGTGTCGCTGTAAGAAGGTCCTCCATTGTGCATGTGGCAGGGCTCAAACCGCATTGTAGTAAGTGGTTTGTGGTTTGCTCTTCTTCACACTCGCATGTTGTGGACTCCACTTTGAAGGCCCATTTCTTTAGTTTGGCTTTGCATCTCATGGTGCCAGAGTGCAGTCTGTTCAGTTCCTTCCAAGTCTCCCAGTCTTTTGTGTTCCCAGGACGGAGTTTCTCATTCGGTATCAGCCACTGATTGAGGTTCTGGGTTTTAGCCTGCTACTTTTGGACTCTTGCTTGCTAAGCTGTTCCTGTGAGTGTCTCTGTATATCTTAGGAAGATATTTCTTGATTTAAGATGTGAGGTTATGAGGGCTGCTCACGAATGAGTTTATGGTACTTAGCACTTTGAATTAGAATACCTTTTGCATATAGCACACATATTTGAGTGCTGGGGAGATGGGCTGATTTGATTCAATGGGACAGAGCTTCTGTCAAGTTTTGTGGTACTTGGTAGGAGCTCATGGTGCATGGTAGGAGTTTTCTGCATTGTTGTCTCCTTTTCTAAGACTTCTGATAGCCTTACATTTTGCTGGACTAACACTCATTAGTGGGCAGAACTGGTCCCTGGATTTACCAGTAGTCTTCTGTGGCATAAACAGTGAGGACTTTCCAGTGATTGGTGGTTGGTTCACTGGTTATAGCTATCTTCCTCCATAGTTTAACCCCGTTAGTTAAACCAGCATTTAACTGGAGTTAGTTTAAAAGTTAAACCACCAGTTAATTGCTGGTTTAACTTTAAAACTAACTCTATAACTCTTTAATTAAACTATATTAAAAAAAACTAGCAAGGAAAAAGTGTAAACACGTTCTTAGGAATAGTACATACTGTTCTGCCTTTTAGATGTGTAGCATTTTTAACTGTTCAAAACTATTTCCTATGAAGATATCAAGCTTTATCATTGAAGTGATGGAATGAAAAATATACCAAATTGACCTTTCATTACTGCTGGGTTTATAAATACTTTAGAATAATTTTATTCTGGACCATTAAAAGTCAGAAAATGTTTGTTGAAGATAATTTTATCCGATACAAGAAATGTTTTCACAGGGGAATCTGTTCCCCTTGACTACTATTACAGCTTGCTTATTATTAATTTTGTTAATTATTAATTTTGGATATTTAGCTGCCTGCACACTTTCTATTTTGTCAGTTTTATACTTATTTATGCAATGCTTTTGACACTAAATAAATAAATATTATCCAGGGAACCAAAACTCTGACTAAAACATGGTTTCAGTTAAGGATAACCTAAAAAATTACTAGTTTAAAATAAATATATTACATTTGATATTTCTAATATATTGTAGATTTTTAAAGTACGGTGTATTATTCTGATTGTCTTACCACATATTTCAGAAAGTGTGAATCTGCTTCTTAGGTGTGTTAAAAACAGTTCATTTATAATAGGTGCTACTCTTGAGTGCTAATTTGAACCTTCCAGTGATACTGAGAGGATTTCTTTCTTTCTTTCTTTCTGCTTCAGGCTACAGGATTTCCAGTCAAAAGAAGTCCTCACGTAGTCCTCTTCGTGCTACCACATTGGATAGCAATGTGAAAAAATGTGCACATGTTGAATTCCGTGAGCCCCTGGCTTCTTTCAGGTTAGTGGAAAGAAAATCTCTGGCTTAAAGTTATTGATCTTTTAAAAAATGTTATTTTCTACCCTTTAATCTAAAATAATTTTCAAAGAATTTCCAGCTTTTATTTAAAAATAAGATTATGCTTGCTAGTCATAGGTTAACTAAAAACCCTTCTTTCTATAATACCTTTTGTTTGAATCTTGAGATAAAGAAAGGAGTTTTAAAGGAATCTTCCCTTGAACAAACTTGCTGTGGAATTGGAAGGCGGGGGGAGAGAAAATGAAAGGAAGGGAGATAATTGGTTTGCTTAATATTATTACAGTTTGGTTATATCCTGTCGGAGAGCATTGGGATTGAGTACACGATATATGTCATGAAATTAAACTCTTTTTCCTTGACTGTATAGTAATAAAAGTGTATGTATTTTTCATTAAAACTGTTTCCAATCCGTAGCTCTTTAGTACTTTATGAAATGGTAGGATTGGGCTTCAGGAGAAAATCTTTTGATACTCAAAAGTATCAGTTCAGAAAAACAGGCTCAACTTATTCAAAAGTTAGTATAAATACTGTACCTTAACTCCTGTCAAAAAAGAGTATTTGAGTAGAATAGCAAGAAGCAACAGTCTGTCCCAGGAGAACCTAAAAGAAGCATCACTTCTCTCTTTTCTTTCTAAAGCAGTATCACCTCTGAGTTTTTTATTTTGTTTTTTTTAATGCCTCATTAGGAAAATAACAGTGGTGCCTTTGGCTTTTTCTCAAAAGAGTGTCAAGAGGGTAGAGGAGTTGGTACTTATTTTAGGTTCTCCCAAGATGAACTAATGTATCCTTTTCTGATAAGAGTTCATTCTGTACATTATTTTTTTTTTATCAAAAAAGGAGCCATCTCTTGAATAGAGTAGCCAAAAAGCCTTTTTGAATGCCTGGATGGGGCATGACAGTGGCAGTCAGGGGAGGCTGCTTATGCGACAGTGGTATCACTTTTCCCTCTCCACAGACTTACTCAAAACTTATCTATGGGTCATGTCAAAATCCATATTTTTGGTTTCAAAACCTGGTCTTCACTGATGTATGAGGTTGCCATACACATGAATATATATGATACTGCTAATTTTTCTTGCTCTGTTTTCAGATTCTTGTTTTTTTAGCATTTTAAAAATGCTCAGAGTCAATATTTTTATGTTTAAGTAGCTTTAATCAGAATATACATACAGAAAAATAAATGAACTGTACCAGTACCACCACCAATAAGCTGTGGTATCTTGGAAGATTTAATTAGGAATTGGCAAAGGATGTATTCCTCTATATAATTCCCTTCCCTATACTCAAGATACTAAATAATTTTTAAAATTGTAATTGCTTTGAAACTAAGAGACTCTGAGTAGACCAGTGGTTTCAACCTTTCTAATGCGGTGACTGACCCCTTAATACAGTTCCTCATGTTGTGGTGACCCCCAACCATTAACTTATTTTCGTTGCTACTTCATAACTGTAATTTTGTTGCTGTTATGCATTGTAATGTAAATATATGATATGCATTACGTATTTTCCTTGACTGGACCAAATTTTCGTACAAATACCCTATATGCCTAAATTTGAATACTGGTTGGGTTCGGGGGAATGATTTTGTCATTTGGGAGTTGTAGTTGCTGGGATTTATAGTTCATTTACAATCAGAGCATTCCGTGAGGTCCACATTTGCTCCAACCCCATATTGCAGGCCGACTTTGATATGCTGTGAAGGAATAGAGTGTGCATTACAACACTAGACTGAGGTTTAGAGCTGGTAAAAATGCAAATGTTCACCGATCAAATTGCAAATATCTGTGTACATGGTTTTGCCTTCTTTGATCAAGGCAAAAATTGTAGTCATCTGGTGCTTTCCCTTCACTTTTGACATCATAGAGGCAAAGGGATGTTTTCTCTTCCTTGCTTTTTTTGGGAAAAATAAGGAAACATTGGGTTGTTGGTTTTTTTGGGCTATATGGCCATGCTCTGGTAGAAAGAGTCATGAAGAATGCCAACTTCACTCTAAACACCACTGCCAAGCAGCAGCTCCTACCACATTTTCCTGCTATGGGGTGAAGGACTCCCTGGTTTGGCTGTTCATGACTAATGGGTGCTTTGACTGTATAGTTGTCAAATTCCCCCCGGCTTTCCTCCCAACCAGAGAGCTGGACAGAGGGCATAGATTTCTGTAAGTTTGTGGGCAGCTTCAAAGTTGGAAGACTAGCCTTCCATCACATTTACTTGTGGGAGGTGCCATGGTGAATATAGGTGAATGGAGAGGAGGCATCGTCTTATAAACATTTCTGAATTCAGGTTGGTTTTATCTAAAAGAAAAATATCTTATACTGTTTTTTTCTGTAAAAGGGAATGTTTCCTTTTTAGTTACTGTGTTATAAGAAATGCATCAAAATAAGGAATCATTTGGAAACTAGAAAAGGAGCAGAGTACTAGCCACTGACTCTGGAACAACTCAAAATTTATTTTGCTTTGTTTCTGATGTGTACTGATCAGTGTTACTTAACTATTTTCTATCTTTACTAGCCGTCTGCTGCCACGCGTTGATGTGGCCCACTCTG